TTACTATAATACCTCGCATATGTTTGATTAATTAGTATATGAAATACCCCAATGGCACCCAGTGTAACTATTTATGCATGCGATGTGAAAATCATGTGATTTTTAAATTTTCACTGAGCAAGACTTCGGATATTATGATCCGTGCTGTACGGTATATTTTCGGATAAACTTGCGAAAACTGCGATAGAATTAAAATGTTCCAAAGGGTTTGAGTAATTATAAAATTAATATTACTTTACTGCTACGTATTTCAGCTATTTATGTTCATGTTTACATTTGCTTATCGTTATCTATGAAATTAATAAAATGCTCTAAATAGAAATATGTTAACGCCCTATAGGGTTCTTACGTATGTACATAAGTACTACGTACGTACGTATGTTTAGTCTATTGATTATTTTCAGATCCTGTTGTTGTTGTCACTTGTTGTCACTCAGCATTTATAAGGAAAAAGTATAAAAACTTTGTTAATTATATACACAATTTTTTGAGATTCAGGTAGTACAAAAGGATCGGACTTTTCTAAATGTACAACACTCTGGAAAATTATTAATAAAAAATAGATATAAATTTTTTTGTTGTTCTAATTAAAAATTCACCCTGCAAAAATTATAATGATCGAATGGTGATACTTAATTGCGCAATTATGTGTTATATGGCGAAAAGAAAAAAGTTTATTATAACAATGTAAATTAACTTTTAAATTTCAAATTCAAATTATAAATTTATTCCAATTAAGGTGAGATTGAAATGTTAAAATTTTTTTAATAGTACTACTGTATTTTCTGTACCACCACACACTATTAAGTTCATTGTTTCTTAGAGTTTATTAAGAAAATCCCCAGCGCTTCACTTATTATTTGTCAAATACAATAGCCAATTTATCCTTTATAATTTTCATAGTTTGACAAATTATCTGCTAAAGTGGATAGATATGGGTGCTGCCAAGGGAAAAGGGCACCTCCGTTTTTTAATCAATTATTGATTCTATAATTGATTAAAAAACGGAGGTGCTCTTTTCTCTTGGCAGCACTCATATGATTAAATAATCATTTTCACTTTATATATAACAAAATAATAATTTATACATGATACATACTGCACAAAAAAATTTTGCTTACTATTTATATTAATAACATAACGAAAATCATTCTATGGGCAGATAATTATGATTGGCCCAATTTATAATTATGGCTTGCCTGATTTAAAGTTAGTGTTGGTTATAATTAAAAGTCTGTGAAATAACTATTAGTGAAACGAGATGAATTCAAAATTATTATATCTATATTTAGTCAAAAAATCGTTTTTGTACCTAAGAGACTCTGGAATCAAAAGTTGATTATCTAACTTGATAACATGTGCATTATAATGTAAAGATATATAATATAATGATATTAAATGACTCTTAGATGATTCCAAAAGAAAATCTAAAATCCATTATAAGATTAATATATAGATATATAGATATGAAATTGAGTACCTATTAAATGAATATAAAAATGAAAGGTAAACATTAGTTGTACTATCCTGGGATAGATTTATTTGTGAATTATGTTCAGAAACTTTTATCAAGCAAAATAAGTAAAATTTAGCTAAAAAAATCTTGATAGTCTGAAAGATTTAAGCTAATTTAAGGATTTAAACAGATGTTAAGACTTTCTATAATATATAGAGGTGAATACGTATCAGATATATCTTTTTTGAGGACGTTTCATTAGATCCATAATTTATTAATTACTATAATCGCATGTATCCCGAGACAATGCTGTATAAAAATAGTGATATTTTAGTTTTAGATTGCTACCAATTTTTTTTTTTATAAACTATATGAATTTTTATTTGATATGAATATAAATTGCTATAAAGAACAATAAAATTATATATTAAAAATATAAAATACACCTCCCATTCCGTAAATAGTTATTAATAATATCAATTATATTTAAAAAATTTGCAACATGCTTAATGAATAATCTAAATTTATTCTGATATAGATACAATGTTTTTAAATTGAATTAATGAAGTACAATAACTTTTTAAAAAGCATCTGCTACAAATTTAGTAATGTAAATCTTGAATTCTTCAGTAGCTTGGCTTTCATTTAATTGCGTAATAATATTATGATTCATCTTTTCTAATGCGAGTGACCATTCCTGGATTAATTGCACCTTTTTCTCCGTTTCTTCATTTTCATTTTTATTTTCATTTTCATCATTTTCATTTTCATTCTCATCATTTTTATCATTATTTTCATTATCGTTTTCGTTGGAATGATTATTAATCGGTGGTAAAGATGGAAATACATCATTTTCTATTTCAATAAGTGGTAAAGGGAATTGGAAGGTAACAGGAAGTTTATATAATTCTGGTAAATAACCTTTGAACAACGGGCCAAGTATATCATAATCTGATACTAAAGAAATTGAATTCAAGTAAATTGGTAAGAAGAAATTGTTTGTATTGCAGTAAATATTATAAATGTTGCAGGTTATTTCAATTTCTGTTTGAATTCCATTTAATATTTCATCGGAACTCTGTCGTTTAATATCAATACTGATCCTCGTTTGTAAAATATCCTTAAAGCAAAGTGATGCTATAAGTGAATTGGCTTTGAATTTTGAAAGGGACCAATAGTAGTAAATGGGTGTTAATGATAGTGATTTTATAGGTGTATATGTTTTAAGTTTTTCATTATCAATTAAATGATTATCTAGTCCATGAAATCTCATGGCTTTTAAGAATATTCTTTCCTGATTTTGTTTCATATTGCGATACAAGAAATTTAATAAATCCATTTTCTTAAGATTACGTTGAGGTTTGATTGTTTCTATAGTACAATTCTCGAAAAAGTGCTCGTCTTTTTTAAGAGATGAAAATGATTCAAGTAAAGTTTCACCAATATCATCTAGCCGGTGTTCAAATAATTGAAGAATATCACAAATGAGTGAATAGGTCAGTTTAAATCCGAGTTCTATAAACTCTGAGAGGCGTTCATTGATTTTATTTACATCCGGACGGGTCCATTCATTTGGAGGCATAGGAGGATAAAGTATTAAGATCGCTCCTTGTAAAACCAAATCATTCACATCTTTACAGATGTCAAAATAACCTATATCAATCCACATTTTTACTAAGTCTTTATGAATCAAGATTGCTCGAGCAATCACGTTCAATTGCCTATTATTTTCATATCCATCTTTTGGAGGGTATTCTTCTGGAAAATTGGATGATTTAGCAGTAGATCTCGGAGGGAATGGTATAAATTTATATTGATAAATAAGTGTTTTGATGAGATCCATATTTTTTACTAATATATTCTGCGCATTTGTTATAACATGTGGACCTGCAGTGTAAAAATGAAATAGTTCTAAATCATTCCCTTTCAATGCGAGTTCCTTTTCACCAAAACGTTTTGAAGCTTCGGTAACCAGATGTGTGAAAACTAGAATAGGCAAGTTACTAGCCCACGGTAAGTTATTTTTTTGTTGAAGTCGTCTAATTCTATCTGCATCACCTTGACCCATATGCCTTATTTTAAGTTCTATGAGTTTATTATCATATCGACCAAAATGCATACACAATCTTTGAGCAAAATATCGAGAAAATAAACCTCCTTTGGAAAGTATAGATTGAACAACAGATATGTTTATAAAGCTTGGACCGAGTCTAACTGCGTGAAAAAGTGAATGTGCATTTCCATATTGATAAAGAATCCATTCTGCCCTTGCTTGTGAATCATTGACTATATTATTCCAACTTTTGCATGTTAATGATAGATTTTTTGGATATAATATGAATTTAAAAATTGTGATTTTTATTTCATCTACTAAACTGTTCAGAGTTGGGACATTTAATGGTATTTTTAATGCATATGCGTTTCTTGCTTTTATATCTTTGGCGCGATCCCTGTTTGCTAATGACTCATTCTCAGTTTTTATCGCAAGCTTTATTATCCATTCATTTCCTTTAGAATTTTTATCTAAACATAAAAAGCTACCTGAATTAAAATTATTATGTTTAATTGACCATAGATTTTGTTTAGTAGTATTCAATGATGATAAATAATTTGGTTCATTGTCTATCAGATCATCACAATCTTTTCTTAAGTCATCATCAAGAATAACACCACAATATCCTAATTGAAAATACTCTTTATTTTTGTTCTTTAATTCTCTTTCATTTATTATACACCAATTGAGAGTTATCTTTTCCTGTGGGTCTGGTTTAGATCCATCTTTAATTTTATTATTCTCATTTGAAATTTCAAATTCTTCAAAAATATTTTGTCTTTCTCTCCGAATTTTTAGGACGATTTCATATTTGGTCCAATAGCTAAGTGTAATATTATAATAACGAGTAGTATCGCTTTGTGGTTTATGAACAAATGAAGTCACAAGAGTACAATTTGTATTAATATCATCAGTTCTGATAAAAATTTCACTTTGAGAGACATCAATATCAATCTTTCCACAGGTAGCTTTAATATCTCTAGAATTATCCGCACAGTATTCTCCTGATTTAGCAAGTACAAACCATTCAATTTTAGTTATATCTTTGTTTAATCTTTTTTAAAGTTAAAGATTTGAATTAATAAAATATGTATAGTATTTAATTGCTTTCTTAAGCCCGTCAAAATAATGTGTTGGCTTATAATGCAATTAGATCATACTTTTTTATCATAATTATTGTTTGAACTCATTAACTGAATTACAACACATTTCTTGTTAATATTTATACAAGATTATGGTAAAAATATTAGAATTATATAGTACAAATTTTATAAATAAATGTATAATGTTTAAATATAATGCAGATTTCATAATATTTCAGTATGATCCAATTTCAGCATTAGCCATATGTTGTACTCTAAATTAGAATTTGTCATAGTAATTTTGATCAAAAATTATGTCTGTCAAAATTCAAGTTTTTCTTAATGCTTAAATATATAGTAATTCTGACCGATAATTCTAATTCTGACCATTTAAATTATAGATACCAATTCAGGGGAATCTAATCTAGAGTACAACATTTAAATGTGTGATTGATTAAGATTGTAAATATTTATTAGTGTTGTGAATATTTTAAAATTAATCGGGGCTTAAAAAAGTGTACAATTTTCATAGATCGAATGAAAGGAATCGGTAAACTATTGTATATACCAATTATATCAAATACTTAATATAATCAATATTTAACATGCAAACATGGCATCTTTAAGATATTATTAAATGTGTTTACATTTGACAAATATTTGAAAGGTGCCAAGGTTGCATTAATAATCGAGACATATTGAATGACCACCAATAATAGAGATATATTCAATGACCATCTTCATTCGATCTGTGTCATGACCATATAATAGTATAATAATTTTAATACTTACATTATATTATTATTTTTGTAAATATTCGCAGTGCACTCGTATTTGTTTACATTACTAAATGCGATAGTTGCTTCTGGAATTTTTTTCCAAGATTCTCCCAAATTATTGGGATATTTCTTTAAAATATTTCCAAAAATTTGATAATTATCGTTGATAAGTGGATGAGGAAATTTAATAATTATATTTTGATCCTCATGACTGAATGAGTTTTCTCCATGAAAAACAATCTGATATTCATTATTAGAAACAAACTTTATATCTTCCCGAAATTGATGCAAGGTTTTATAACATGGAGACCAATCACCGAAAGAAATAATTTTCCAATTTTCAGGATTAGTGTTAAAGGCTTCCGACCAATCTTTAATCTGATTTCTATTGATAACATTTCCATTATTACTAATAAATGATGTATCAATATTCAATTCTTCTAAAATTTGTTCAATTTTTTCTGGTGATGTTTCTTGCGGAAATTTGTAAGGTAAGTTAGAAATATTACAAGCTTCATATGTTGTTAGTGTGCTACCAATGGTTAAGGCTTTTGGTAAAGTGTTGCCGTAATAATTTTCAATTGCTTTAATTGCTTTAGGAGAATCTTTATAGAGCTCTGCAGGTATCATACTTGGTGAATCCCAAGAAATTTCTGCTGCATGATATGTAATTTGACAAAAAATTTGTGTAGAACATTTAACATCATCTATTGGAGTAATATGATAAAAAGTTTCGTCAAGATTTAATTTATCTATATCATATGATAAATGAGTAATATGTTGATTTTTAGGATAAATGAATGAAATAGTAATTTTTTTCGTTGAGATAATTTTAGGTTGCTTTAGAAATTTAAACCTAATACTTTTTCCATACCCTAATTTGGAGTAATGTTTTGGAAAGATATTATACTGTAGCGAAAGATTGTTTTCTATCAAATCATGTGCATGTGATAATAATGAAGGTTTTGATACCCATTCTGAAAAGCTTTTTTGTTCATATGTAGCAGGAAGTTGTGGAATTAATTTTGGAAGACTTTGATTGTTAGGTTTAAACGAAAAGCATTCAAATATTCCATTTTGTAATTGTTCATCTAATAATCCAAATGATGGTTTATAACCTTCATATGATATAATAGTCACATTTTTATAATCATGTAAATCTTTCAGCCAAGAATAAAGGTCTCCAACGCATTTCATGGGTTGTGCTCGCGATGGCAAAGTTTCAAATGATGGAAAACTATCAAGTGAAGTGAGCTCAAAAATAGGCAAAGATTCGCCTTTTGCATAACTGATTCCCCAAGAAAGATAAGTTTGTAGACATTCTAAACTTTTAGGATCAGCTTTTGAACAATCAATCGTTATCGTCCCACCAATAGTGAACTTAGTAATCACATAATTTCCATAATCATGAAATATTTCTTTTAATTTATTCTTTTTTTCATCTACATTTGAAATGTTGAGCGCATCTTTAATTTCTTGAATGAAATCAGCATTTAAATTTCCACAGTATTCTATAGTACCAACTGGAATATGAATTTGTATCTTATCAGCGTCAGCAAACAGATGACCACCGTTCGAACATGGAGATAAATTATTTAAAACTTCCCAATGACTTGTATTTATTTTTACGAGAAAAACAATTGGAATAAAATCTGTTTTATCTGTTTTTACCTCAACATTCTTAAAAATATCGTTCTTTGTAATAGCAAAATCATGATTATTACGATTGCGACCTTTAAGTAATTTTAAGAAGATGACGACTTGATTTGTATTGTCTAATGAATCGAAATTTAACGAGATCGAATGATTTTCATCAAGATATGTATGTTTATTTTCGCATTCATAATTTTTAACATCTTGATTATATACTTGTTCAAAAGAAATATTATCTAGTGCTTCAATTATTTTATGGCAATTAGGTCTTTTATCTGCAATTAACCATGTTAGTCATAAATGAATGGATGTAAATAATCATATCATTATATCACATTTGCAATTACCAGGATCCTGATCCCAACATATTTCATAAAGATCAATATATTTAAGAGGTGTTCCACTTATAGGCGACTCTCGAATACCGTTAATTATCTTGCTTTCTAATGATATATCATAGTTATCTTGAAAAGGTTCGACACCATTACTAGACACCTCCCAAAATAATACGCCTAAACTGTAGATGTTTAATTTTGTTTTATCATTTATAGATTTTTTGGCAAGAATTTCAGGAGCGGTGTATTGAGTAAATTGAAGATTATTAGGCGGAATAACTTTAGACATTCCAATATTTGCTAGTTTTGGGATTGTATAATGCATTAATATATTTTTTGGATGCTAAAATAATAATGATGATGTTATACAATAGTTATAATGGTTTATGCTTATGAGAATTTATATATTAATTATAATAAAAGATTATTACCAGCTCGGAGTGAATAACTTTATTATCATGAAGAAATCCCAATCCACTAACTATCTGACGTGTTAATTCTAACTTTTTATCCCATGAGATCGGAGAATGACTTTTAATATAATCACGCAAATCACCATCATAGTATTCTCGAACGATATAAAATTTTTCATTTTCTGTTATGCAATTTAAATTTGAGTTATTCATACGGAGTTTTAAGTCATTTTGTAACATATCCACCGTTTGATTTTTTAAAATAAATATATAATATTTTGAATTATTTTTGTTTAAATAATTTTATTCCCAAAATGTTCGTTAAGATATTCACGTGCTAAATAGCGATGCACCTCCCAATGTAGAACTATGTCCAACCGATCGTTCCACAGTAGGAGATGGATATCTCATGATCCTGTGATTAGATTTAGATGATATGGGGCTTATTAGAATCGTCTCCTTATGACGAACATTTTGGTAATGAATTTATTTAAAATGGACCAATAGATCAAAAGTTATTATTATAAAAATACTTCAAAATATTATATATTTATTATAAAAATCAAACCGGTGGATATGATTCACATACCATTGGTCAAACCAAAAAATCGAATTATGTTTTCGTGATTAAAATTTTTGAACTATTATTATAAAAAAGTCGATTTATTAGTTTTTTTTTCGCGAACAAAACAATATTCCATTGTTTCGGAAGGTTTTACTAAAACCATTGTGCAGACAAATTCTTTTTTACGATTCTAACTAACACATATCAACGAAATATAATAAATATGATGTCATGTATATTTATTTCTTTATAAATGCAATGAGTATGTTTTGACTATCTTCCTTTATTAGATCTGTAGAGTTATACATAAATGCAGTAGTCTCTTTTTGACGGATTTAGTAGTTAAATAGTATTTATTATCTATTTCTACGTATTCCTTTAATTTTCTATTTTTGGTTTGCTTAGGTTTCAAAAAATAAGCCCACATCTTAATAATATCGAAACGTATTACGTATATAAAAGCTATTTATTAGCCGTAATGTACACACGAACGTACCTCGTTATGAATCTTTTTGACATCAACTTTACTTAATTCCATATCGTTTATCAAACTTAACATGACTCTTCTGCCGTTATAGAGTTTTATCTGCTCATTGTAGGATTCATATTCTTCAATTGCATTGAATAAATCAGTTTCTATTAACGAAACTGCCTTTTTATTTATCAGTTTTCGAACTTGACTATATGTTGTAATATTCATACTAATAAGTCTACAGTGGCAAAGTGTTGAAATTAGAGTACTATATACTAAGTCCCCCAAAATTCCCTCGCCATTCTGATTGGTTCTACTAATTATTCACATTCAGTATCGGAGTATTTGTGTTATTATTACTGTAACCAATTTTATAGGGAGTGGTGGGCACCCTGACATTCTGATTTAACTTATTTAATATGTGTGATTACATGCGTAAGTAGTTACGCAAGTTACGTAACATAATTTCTTTCAAATTTTCCAAACTTGATTATTATTTACTAGGGGTAATAAAAATAACATTCGGCAAATTTTTATTTCCACATGTAAGTATATTAAGCAATTCATTCAGAGCACTCCATATTTAGGTCACCTACCGCAAAATCTAACTTTAACGTTAAGGCTCTACATACATAGCTCCGTTTAGTTACGACAATTCGTGCGTACCAATAAATATAAATTCGATCTACAGTACTACTAATTACTGTATTAGTTATGTATAATTAGTTTGAGTACTACAATGATAGAGTTGATCTCTAAACTCTGCCTGTTGTGAATAAATTAGTGTTTAATGAACGTTGCGCAAAATTAATATTGAAGATTTTTTTGGAGGTAATTCATAATTTCATGTTGTATAATACATCTAATGTTAGTATATTTATGATAATGAATGGGTTGAGCTTTGCGAAGTTTTCATATTAAAGGTCAACCAAATGAAAGACAACAAAGTAAAGTAACCAGAGGAAATAATTTAAATGTACTACGTATCATGTTAAGACAAAATATTGTTAATAATAATGTTAACATAAGTTTTTGAGTAAATTTTGTTGTACGTACGTACAGCAAACATGTATGTACACAAAATTTAATTTTATGAACAACGATTTTCTAACTATTAAAGTTAGAGCAAGTGCTACTAGTATTTTCCTTTTTTCGTGTTAGGGGATGTACTACAGTTGGTCGCAGAAAAGTTCCGGAAAATAATATACAACAGATTTAATCCGTTTTAATAATATTCTCATTACATGGTGGGTGGTAGAGACTGGACTCGAGTCAACTCGTAGCTTAAATAACATAGTCTTGACTCGAGTTAACTCGAGTTAAGACTATGTTTTTTAAGCTACGAGTTGACTCGAGTCCAGTCTCTAGTGGGTGGATAATTTCAAATATAATGCACTAATACCCTAAGAACAGCTGATTCAATTTGGATAACTTTGTACTTAAATGACTGATAATATTCAGAGCGTACAATGGATGAGCTGTTTACGAAATATCAACATTAAACTAATAAAATCAATGCTTATTTGCACCGATTTCTGATCCTAATTTTACCATTTGTCACTATTTGCGATTATCTTGGGTTTAAACAAATCCTACGATTTGTGCCGTTGAGTTGTAAAAAGGTAAAATTTGTACAATTATTCTCGGATCTCTTCCACGACCACTGTATCTTGATTCTTATACGTTCATACTAATTTGCATCTATTTTACTGTATATCTTCTCTGAAATTAGTGATACGTATTTAAATTCATTACTTATCTTTTTCTTTAATATGCTAGATTAGAGTTTAGGTTTATCTTTGTATATGATAAGATACATGTATATATAATAATAAATCATCCGATATATAATTTTGTCTGATTTGATTGTGATAATCGTATTAGAATTTCTCAATAAGTACAATCTCTAGGATTGTCTTGCCTTTTATCTCCGAAAAATTTACTTTTTTTGGTATTTGTTATTAGATGGATTTTATTTTAAAATTTTGTTAACTTGCTCCTGCAACTTGTTCGATTAGATAGTTTTTCT